GTTTGCATGGAATCTGCCATTTCCGCCCCTGCCAAAACACTTGTTAAAGAAGTCATGTAATATCTCTATTAGATTGTAAATACAATTGACAAGGAAATGGCCTACTGGCAATGTATTAGCTTTGTGGCAGTGCCAACCAGCCTACAGCAAAATAGCATACAGAATAACTTCTGCATGCATTCCCCAGTAACAAAACAGTGTTTTACATAAATACCACAAAATCTAAGCAAGGTCCAGAAAAAGCAATGAAAGTTTGCCCAAGCTTTCATGCTTGCCTGTATCAATTGAATGTCTTAACTAAAACAAAATAGAAAAGCATCTACATATGTCCAGGAGTCTTGTGAAGTTGGATCATATAACACAAGGGAAACTATCACAACTGAAATCTATGTATTTCTTCTTAACCACTGTAACAACTCACTAATAAAAATTAAGAAGAACTGTGGAATATCAAGTGTACAAAAGAGTATTAACTGCATTCAAGCCCTTAAAGGCCAGAACATAAATTATTAACAAGAACATGTGTTCTGTGTAAACCAGAACTGTTATTTTAAAATGATTTTGCCCTTTGATATAATACATTTGATTACAAGGATTTCAAAAAGAATCACAATGTGTCAAGTTAAAGCACTAACCCTTTATTATACAGGCAATGGTTATTTTTTAAAAAAAAAATCTTCCCTGATAATTTTGCTCTTAGTTTTCATTATCTAATGAAACTTACAAGCAATTATGTTGAAGTTATTTCAGATATAATGTGGATATCATTTTTTCTAAATCCCATGTTAACTGTAAGTGATCGTTGTTCATTGTGCCTCAAAGAATTGCCAGCAGTTTGTGGGCATCTGCTTGACCACCGTGCAAATAATATGATGGAATAAAGAGACAGAGCTAAGAAATAATTACTTTTGGATTATAACTCCCACACACACACACAAACAACTAGAATGGAGGTGGATGTAAGCTCTGGGAGTTGCCGTTCAAAAACTTATATTTCTTTTAAAAAATATATTTTTATTAACTAAGAATGCAAAATTCTATTTTTTAAAAAGTGGGGCATGGTGGGCAGTGGGGATAAGGGAATACTACTGCAGTGAGCAGATAAAAGGAAATGAAAGGAAAAGGACAACGTTATAGACTCGAATTTCTAAGGGTCTGGGGAAGGAAAGAAGGTAAAGAAAAAGGGGGAAAAAAGACTTCCAATCTTCTCTACTGTGATCAACTTTTGTCCTTTCTTGATTCTTTTTAATCTTACTCTCCCCTCTTCGATAATTCCTGAGAAGTAACAATTTTTCCCTTTATTATCAATTTAGTATTATTATCAATTTTATTTTTTCTTGTATCATAAAGTCTCTTATTGGTATTCAATCTGTTGTTTTCTTATATCCATTCTGAATGTTTCTTTAATAGGGTTAGCTTATCCATATTCATTATATCAATTATTATCGACATCCATTGTTCTTTTGTAGGTATTTCATTTGCTCGACAATGTCAGGCATGTGCTATTCTGGCGGCCGTCATCAAGTGATTGAATGGTCTTTTTTTGTCCATTTCTATATTTCTTATTTCCAATAGGAAGTATTCCAGTTTAAACTGAATTTTTAAGCCTAACATCATCTGAATTTTTTCTGGAATTCCCCCCCCCCCCATTTTTAAGCTATTTTACAAGTCCACCACATGTGGAAAAAGGTTCCTACATGCTCTTCAAATTTCCAACATTTATCTTGCCTATTTGAGTAATATTTTGCTAATTTCTGTGTTATATGCCATTGGTACATCATTCTATATCATTTTTCTTTCAAATCATAAGAATAAATGAATTTCAATTTTTGGTTCCATATTTTTCCTACTTTTCTAATTTGATTGTATGGCCAATATTTGAAGCCTATTTAATCATGTAGTCCTTAACTTGTACAGTTTCTGTTGACCATTCTAATATTTTTTTACATTTTTTCATTATTAGTTTGTTATTTGTCTGCATTTCTAAGCTCTACAGCTAGATCTGAGCTTTCCAAAGTGTGCCGCATTGTCAGTGTCGGCAGCAGTGTGTAGATGTGTAACAAGAAACCTCTCTGTCTATGTGAAATAAGCAATAAATCGTTTTTTTTAAAAAAAAAAAGATAAATGAAAGGTTTTTATGAGGTACATTGCGTTCCCACTCATTTCATTATTACAATGTATCTCTGTATCTGTATCTCTTTATGAGAGGTTGGTTTAGCCTCCAGTTTGCTAATAAAACTGAATTACTGTGTCACTAAACGATGCATGCCTAACAAGTGTGTCACCAACATCAAATGTTTAGAAAGCTCTGAGCTAGATATTCAGTTTGGTCCAGATCTTATCATCTTCATAGGTCATATATGTCATTAGGATTCATAAATTCATCAATGGCATCTGTTTGCGTTTCTCCCTACATTCGTCATCAAAATAGTTTCTGCATTCTATTTCTTCAAATATGATTAAAGCTTCAAGCCAAAAACATATTCCTCCACTACAGCAGGGATTGACAACCTCTGGCCTTTGGGATAAATACAGCCTCAGGGGTTCCTAATAACAGCTCTTTTAGCTGTTACTTCCAATCCATGATGGAAAAACCAGGGTATTTTATCTTTAAGAGAGAATTAAGCTGTGAACTTGTTGGCACATTGTAAGTGGCTACATGGAAAGGAGCTGTATTATTACACAAAAGTATGGTACGTTGGAAGAGAGATGAATAGAGACTATTACCAGACTGCTGATTGGAAAGTATAAATGCATTCGGGCCTTGATAGACCACATTAGCCCATTTAACATCAATGGCCATACAATCAATGCACACATCTGTGAACCTTCATGGTGTTTTTGTGAATTAATTAGAATGTTTTATGTTCAAGCAAACCAAAAATGGACAACATGGAAGTCCCTGAACAGACTCAAAAGTGGAGTGGGCAGGTCAAAAAAACCACCTGGCAAAATAGCACTACCTAAAAGAATCCTCCACCTTGTGCGACTGTGGAGCAGAACAGACAACTCCGCATCTGTATGCTTGTCTGCAATGTCCCACCTCATGTACAGAGGAAGAATTGTTGGGGGCTATGCTGTTGCCTGTTTTTGGTCAAAAGATATTTAGCTGCTTGTACTCCTTCTATTTTTATCAGTTTAATACTCATTTATGCAATGCTTTTGATACGAAATAAAGGTTCATGTTTTATGTTAGTTATAATTTTTGATAGATTACATTTTATTTAAGTTATTGTTGCTATGTTTAAGATGTCTTTTATGTGGGGTTATTCTAAGTTATTATATTTGTACCTATTGTCATTGAAGCACTGAATGTTTACAAGCGGCACCAAGCCCAAAATGTACAACAAAATTCACCAACGAAACAAAAAAGAAAAAAGAAAGAAAAAACTGTTTAAAACATAATAACATATGGCAATCAATTATAACACAATTAAAACAGCAAGGCATAAAACACTGTTTAAACTATATCAAATCAACTCAGCAGTTTTATATTATTATTATTATTATTATTATTATTATTATTATTTCTGTACATAAAATTCAGTGTTTGCCCTTTCACCAAGCTATACATACACACAATCTTTTCATCAAGTTTAATGTACATTTGCCAGCAAACAAACTCTCTGAACTTGGAAGTTGTTCATTTTAACTATAGATAATCAAAGGAGAGTGGAGAGAACAATTTTCCTGGAAATCCACAGTAACTTCTCTTAGCCTGCATATTTTTTAATCCGTGGTGAGAAAGGTTATTATACTTGGTGCTGCCTACGCATGCCTTTATCCTACCTACTATGGGCATACAGCAGCAGAGACTGTTCTTAAATTAGCATTTCGCCCCCACCGAAACTTGGTTCCCACCTCCACACTGTAGTATATACTTCTCCATAGCTAGTCCCTTGTCATATTAAAGTTGTTACCAAAAAGTCACAGAAGCACAGCTTGATCAAGCCATTAAATGCAGCTGCCCACTGCCACATCTTAAGATTTTGTTTCATTTTATGTATAAAAATCATCAGCACACATACAGAAAAGAAACCAGTATTCAATAAAATGAAAGGGGAACAGTAAGTAAACTAGAAGAGCAAAGATGGAAAACAGAGCATGGGTACAATTGTTTCCTGGCCACTGGGATTTAAGAACAGAAAGTAAAGAAATAAGGAACAAACTCAACAGCCCAAACCATCTCTGAGAATTCTTTGCCTAAGAAAACCTTTTGAAATGTATGGGGTCACCATAAGCCAACAAGCAACTTGAAGACACACATAAACAGTCTTATTAGAAGGAAACATATTTACTAAACTAAAAAAATCATACGATACCAGAAATAATAGAAAGAGATGAGCAAATGCCAAAAAATGTCTGGTGACAGCTGATGTCGTTTGGAAAAAAGGCAACTAATTTGATGAAAACTTAAGATCTAAATTCCTATATTTAAACATTAATTCTAAACCCTACACAACAAAGCAAATATATTCTGAACAAACCTTCCCTTTATCAACAATCATTCAATATTAAATATCATGTCTAATTAGGAATTGAACATCAAATGATATATCCAATCAGCACAACTGCCAGAGAAAATAATAAGCCTAGCCTCTTTTGTTTTGAATGTGCTCCATTCCCCTTTCCTCTTCTGGCAGAACTATGAGAAAAAGATCAGAAGCTTTTGTTTTTATTTTACATTAGTCTCAATGCAATGTGTTTTATGAATTATACACTCTGGCTAATTGTAACTATGGTTAATGGAAGCACCATGGTTTAACTGCATGTTTCCAGTAGTCACATTTTACTCTAATTTAGACAAATACAGTTAATAAAAAGCAAGACAAAGACTTCCAAATGCCTTCTTATAGTAATATTTCAGGAAAGAAGGCATATGAGCCTCAACTTGTCCTTGTAAGGTCTGGACCAACCAAACAACTAATACTTCTACTTTCCCAAAAAGTAAGACTATAAAGAAAACAGAGTTAATAATGAAGTCACCATATGTTTCTTACCCTCATTGGATGTATATCAGCATATGGTGGCTTTCCTTCTGCCATCTCTATTGAAGTGATACCAAGTGACCAGATGTCTGCCACACAGTTATAGCCAATCTCTTGTATTACCTCTGGAGCCATCCAAAATGGGGTGCCTATAACAGTATTACGTTTTGCCATTGTATCCTGTAATGAAATTAGTTAAAAGCTTAATGTATCTCAAAACATTCTCTGGCTTCGTCTTATTTCCATTTGTAACATCACATCCAAGAGGGATCAGCTTAGCCCAGTGATTCTCAACCTATGACCCTCCAGATGTTTTGGCCTACAACTTCCAGAAATCCCAGCCAGTTTATCAGCTGTTAGGATTTGTGGGAGTTGATGGCCGAAACATCTGAGGACCCACAGGTTGAGAATCACTGACATAGCAGTATCTAATTCCAGGAGACAAATCTCAGTAATTGAGTTTCTTCTAAAAGGTTACAATGTGTAGCCCAAAATATCTGGAGGGCCACAGGTTGTGCAGGCCTATTTTAGACATTCTCCAATCTTCAACAGGTTAAGAAATACTTTTTAATATGTATCTTTTATAGAACTGCATTTTAATGAGTATGCTTTTAGAATTTGTGCAATGTTTGTGTTGACTATGCTGTGACTCACCTCAAGCTATGAGGAGAGGCGTGTAGGAATTATATTATTATTATTATTATTATTATTATTATTATTATTATTATTATTAAGACTGTGTTCTTGAAGGCTTTCATAGCTGGACTCGCCTGCCATAGATGTGGGCGAAATGTCAGGAAATAATGCTTCTGGAGCATGGCCACACAGCCCGGAAAACTCACAGCAACCCAATGATTAAGACTCCTTCAATGTACAATATGTCAAGCCCTAAAATTGCATGATCACACACACATTTTATATTGCTGGGGTTTTTTACTTGTACATATGTAATTATACTTGTACGTATTTAATTGTATGCATACTACATGTGTTTCTGAGTGCATTTAACAATACATGCATATATATGAGGAGTACACTAGCCACACAGAAATGTTTGATGAAGCTCTCAATCAGAACCAAAAGTTTCTTGGAAAAATGCTTTTAGTGAATGGTTCGGCAAAGAGAGTTAATGATGGAAGTATGCACTGCGAGTCCAAGAGCAATCAGGAAAAAAAGGAATGGAGGTATAATGAACTCCCAGGTTTCCAACAGCATTTCAAAAATGGGAGAGTTACACACTGACCTTAGACAAATTTCTTTGAAAACAGAATAGTCTATATGGGACACTTAGCACTCTACTGTATTAACATCTGATTGATGGCCCTCCAATTCTGAAGAACTGTTTGTAATGGAAGCTAATTGGTTGTGTTGCTAGAACTCATTCTGCTTACTAACCAGCTACTGTAATGACCTGAAGAGGCAGTCTCAAACAGGACAGTTCTGGATTATTCCTCTGTATCTAGCAACACCACCACCACCACCCTTCAATGTTAAACTTCTGGAAGTGATGATAAGATGATTTATCAGGACACATACAACCAGAAAGAACATCATGCAGGCTTTGGTGGATGGGATAGCCTCTAAGCATCAAACAGTAGCAACTGTAAAGGAAACCTCTTTACATAGCAAAGTACATAGCAAAGCTTTTATTTTTAAATGAGAACTTTTCCCATATTCTTTATACGTACAGTTAGCTGTCCAGCTACTCCAAAATCAGCTAATTTTGCATGCCCTTCGGTGTTTAAGAGGATGTTTCCAGCCTTTATATCTCTATGTATTTTTCTCATAAAGTGCAAATATTCAAGTCCTTTAAGCGTAGATTTAAGAATGGTTGCAATTTCATCTTCTGTAAGCTATAAGGAAGCATAAATAACGAACCATTTTCATCTGTATACATATACATACACGTTCCACACTTCTATAAACAAACTGAATGACTAAGAAACTACCACACAAACTCCCTTATAATTATTATTTATATAGCATGCAAAGGTTACACAAAATGTTTTACAAATATAGAAAGGAAAACCCCATCAAGGTTTCCTCTTGCAACCCAATCCACATGGCTTGACCTCCTTTATGGCTGCACAAGTTCCCACAGAAGTCAACAGGCTCCAAACAGGAACAAAGGTGCCACCCATAAAGAACATACAATCGACAAAGAGCCTAAACAAATGCAACATGAAAAGCATGCCCACATTCTGGATTCTCTGGTTATAGATACAATTCTCCTCATTTTCCATTAAAATAGGATTAAGTTACAGACTCTTCAGGCCATGTATCCTTTTGGTTGTGAGCGCACATACTGTGGTTGTATTCTAAAGAAGCAATTCAAAGGGCTGGTTTCAACCATTCTTCACCATTTGGACCAAAGTACCTGAAGGCTTACTAATCTCCATAGGTATCTAACCAGACTTTAAGATCTTCTTAAGTTAGCTTATGGATGTGCAAGCAGTCCCCAAGTTACAAACAAGATAGGTTCTGTAGGCTTGTTCTTAAGTTGAATTTGCATGTAAGTTGGAACAAGTAAATTTTTAAAGTATAACTCCAGCCAAATATATATATTTAGCTTTGGATAATATAGGGAAGGGTTAACACCTCTGGGGTGTTTGTTTTGTTATCTCTGTTCCTGTTTAGAAGATTTCATTTCACTTTCTGTCTCTGTGAAAATTGGATTTTGAAAAAAATGACTTTTTGTGGAAACAAAAATTGGTGATAAAGCTCATTTGAGATACCTTTTCCCCATGTTGACTCTTTCAGGAGTGAATTTCCCTTCCAAGGGGAAGATTTCTCTCCCTTCCTTCCTGTATCATCCCCATTCTTAACTAGAAGTCATTTATAAGTCAGAAGTTTGTAACTAGGAGACTGCCTATAATTACATTTTTATTTTCCCAAGACTTTTTGTCTATTTGTGCTTTAAATGAGGTTAGTGTGAACTAAGTTTTTCATATAGTTCTCATCTGTTTCTTGAATATACCGTATTTTAAATATTTCAACTGTTTTGTAAACTGACTGAAAAATGCGTTTATAGAGTGGCAATGTGCCCAACATTACAGGTCAAGCATCCCTTGATTTTTCCCAGTTAGTCTCTAAGGTGCTACAAGACCCCTTTGCTTAATGATAAGTTACTTAGTTGTAAAATGTACATTAACAAAAAGAAAGAATTAATGAATTTTGCATTTAAGTTTTTTTTTTCTTTTCCCTAGTCTGCTAAAAAGCTAGCATGCTATATTTCTATACTGGCCACAGAGGACATGCAAATGAAGACTCTGTAAGGAACTTCACAAAATATGAAGTCCAACATGACTCCTATGATTCTAACCAAGAAGTCTAATCAAGTGACAAGAAAGACTTTGTAAATAAGATTTAAAAAAAGGTCTTTCAATCCTTCAATTTAACTAATTATATCTACTCTAGTCTCTTCTAAAATAAAAATACTACTTGTTAAGATTTGATTCTTGCCCATTATAGAAATCATTCAAACATGTATATGCTTGATGTTTTTTCCAGTGCAGATCAAATTTAAAACAAGGATACTAAATAGCCAAAGAATTGTCACAATCCACCCATCAAAAAGTTAAGGACATTTAAGCTAAATCAACTGAATGGACACTAAATATTAGTGGTATAGTAAACAAAAAGTTATATTTGCATCAGCTTCAATTCAGTAGAAAGCAACCAATTCAATTGGTGGATCCTCCTTCATTTTCCAGAAAATCATCTGGCCCAAGATTATTTGTCTACATTAACCGGTCTGTGCTAGTAATATAATTTGCTTGTCAGAGAAAATAACTGACAATATGGTGTATTGTCCTAAATTGAGTTTTTACACATGGATTAAATTTGGTCCAGAGACAGTACTACACTTTATCATGCATATTTTTTTTAAAAATGCAGGATGGAAAACCAACCCCAAATCAATTAATAATGCAATACTATTCACGACTATGCAGGAAGAGGTCCCATGCTGTCCAATGGGGCTAATATCTAGAAAGCCATGATGGGGAGTTTCACACTTGTAACCGTGTTTCCCAAAACCCAATTTAGAAGCCAGGCACTAACAACAACAGATTTCTAAGGTGCTGGGAACTGGGCAGGTGAGCAAAGACATGTCTAGCCCTCTCCCAGCAGCAAAGCACTTTCCAAAACACATCGCAGGGACCTGTGCAAGGTCCTATCACAACTCATTCTCAAAAAGTACCTTGTTGCAAGGAGAAGAGTGGGCATTTCGTCACTCACACACTATAGGTTGTTGGCTCTTCCTGTCTTCTAAGGTGGGTTTTGAGGGGCATGCATAATCCTTGCACTGGTATAACAACCATATAAATAAAACTTTATGGTATCATTAAGATCAGTTTATTACGTCATAAAAAACTGAACAGGATGCCAGTCTTTCTCTTCTTCTTTTTGATGAACAAAATCTGTTAGGTGTAACCAAAAGTAAAAGTCAAGGAGATCAACAAAAGACTTGAACACCACTCAGTTCCTTGTTCTCTCTGGAAAATGCAAACTTCAATTAAATGCCTTTAGCATATGAAGGGACAGCCTTTATAAAAATTTTGCAAGAACAAATAAATCTTTCTGAGGAAGATCTTTCCCACCTCCACAAACAAACAAAAAATCTTACCGTTTTATTTCGTAATCTAATTATGTCTGAGACTGAACCTGCTCCACAGTATTCCATAACAATCCACAGGTCTGTGTTCTTAAAGTAGCTGCCATAGTACTTGACGACATAAGGACTATAAAAAAAATGGACATCAGTTTCCAAAGCGAACTTTCAAATATATTAGTAAACAGCTCAGTCCAGAAACACTTCTAGAGCAATGGTTCTCAACCTATGGGTCCCCAAGTGTTTTGAAGGCCAAAACATCTGGGGACCCACAGGTTGAGAACCACAGGTCTAGAGAAAAAGAGTTTAGCTGCTCCTCTGCTTCCCTAGAAGCTACATAGGTTTTAAGTTTCATTATAAAATATAAATTATATCTTCAGGAGGATGGGGAGAAATAGAAATGGTGTTGCACATACAAATTATAAAAGCCCACAACATAAAATGGGCAAATTCAGATGCAATGATAAGGGACAAGGGATTAGACAGAAGACACATTTTTTAATTTAACTACTCAAAACAAAATGATAATCTGTGAATTACATCTGCTGTGATTAGATATGTTTAAAGCAAAGAGGCAAAGTATAAAATAATGGCACCAAGGCTCTAAAGTCATTTCAGGTTAAAGAGTTCTTTTTCTCCTAACTCCCTCCAAAGTTTTGTGTTAACTTTGATCTTCCACTACTGAGTTAAGCATAAGTACGGCTACCACTGCAGCACAACAATGTAAACAGCCCATCACAAGAACTGCTCAGTGAGCATCCAACTCACACCTGAATAAATGCATCATAAAATTCATTTCATCCTTATCAGATAGATAGGGTTGACTTTAAACTTTGTCCCCTACAACTATGTTATTACTAGGATACAATATTTTGGGACTATCTCCATAACAAATTCTGAAGACCTTACACTAAAGATTAACAATCTGCAATAAAAAGAATGATTAGAAGCCTGCCGAAGTATATATAATATTGGAATATTTAGAGCCAAGTAGCATTCGTGTAATCCTCTGATTTGGATTCTGTTAGTCTTACTTTAACTATTGTGTGTTTTGTGGCATTTGTAGTTTGTCCATAAAGATCCTAACTGATATGAAACAAGCCTCAGAAGAAAGGGAGTTTTTTCTGCTCACAAATGTTTTACAAGGGAGTGATTCACCAATATTTTACTAAGGGCACACCCGTATCTTTGTTAAACATCTATCCATTACTGTCAACCTTTGACACTGAAATAAACCTCACTTAATCCCCTGTACTTCACCATCTCCAATTCCTATTACAAGTAATTTCAAAGAACACTTATAAATCTTCTTCCTATGTTCATTCTCTCTTTTGCACACATGCAAATAACTGCTATGGTCTAAAAGAATTTCTGCCTTTTGACATTTTGGTTCTCTCATCCTCTCAAAGTAAAGGAGAAAGCAAGCACTATATATATATATATATATATATATATCTCCTAATTAAATAAATGAATAGTCTGCTCCCAACCTATGAGATAAGGCAGGGCATAAAATGTGTTTGAAATAAACAATAAACATTTGACAATAGAATATTATCTCAGTTCAGCTATGTTTCAGTCTAAGGAAATCCATCTGCCACAAACAACAATCTGCTTAAATTTATTCTCCAAAACCACAAAAAAGTTATGGGCTAGAAAGAGGTATTGGGACTTGATATTGGTCACCCCGTGTATAAACTTCCACATGGCACCCATTTTGTATAAGGCACACTCACTGTTTATACTAGTTATTTAATTTCAGTATTTACTTCACAATACTTTCAACAGTTATATCCACCCACCCACCCACTTTGAGACTAGATCTACACTGCCATAGAATCCAGCATATCATCCCAGATGCTGCTTTGAACTGGATTTTACACACTGCCATATAATCCAATTCAAATCAGACAATCTGGGATCAGAAACTGAAGTATATGGCAGTGTAGATCCACCTCGAGACTCTTTTAAGAGAAGAAAGTGAGACAGAAACAATAGGAAGCGGATTAAGATGATTATGATGCTTTGCCATGAAACAAATGGACCAGGTTCTCACATGAGAAAGTATCATGGCATATAAAGATTCAAAAGGAGCGAGAAAGATTTGTTTGAAGAATGTGCCTCCATTTCCTCCATTTTACTCTATTTTTCATCCAACCACGTTCATAGCCAACAACCACGCAAGGAGGAAGACAAGAATTAATCAAAACCAAACATTTACTTTTTCAATCACTAATCAGTCAATTTTTTAAAGATACTTTCAACCTTTGCTTGTAATTGTCAATTGACTAAAAATTATACTATTAAATAAAAGATGTTTAGGCATTTTGTCATAGATGGCAGAATTCTCAAACTTTGTATCATCCATACCTGTCACACTGCTGCATTATAGAAATTTCTTTAATTATTTCCTGTAGATCAGATTCAACAGGGACTTGCTTAATTGCCACTACTTGCCCTGATTCTTTATGAATGGCTTTAAATACACTGCCATAAGACCTAGAAAAGAAAGCAATAGTAATTCAATATTTTAATTACCTGTTTGATATATTAATTCAAACCATTTACTGCACAATGTAATAATAAGATTCATCATTGCACTCAGATTTTTTCTGCAATATTACAAAACATGATGAGTAGCATCACGCCTCTACAAAAAAGGAGTATATACCCCATTCAAATGTGTTTCCACACCACAAATAAAGACTGTAGGGATACATATATTTTATTTTACATTACAGCAAAGGTGAGGAAATATGACATTTTATATGTTGTAGGTAAAAGTAAACGTTTCTCCTTGACATTAAGTCTTGTGTTCGATTCTGGGAGGTGGTACTCATCTCCATTTCTAAGCCAAAGAGCTAGCGTTGTCCACAGACACCTCCAAGGCCATGTGGCCAACATGACTTCATGGAGTGTCGTTATCTTCCCGCCGAAGCAGGACCTAATGATCTACTCACATTTGCATGTTTTCTATCTGCTAGATTGGCAGAAGCTGGGGCTAACAGCGGGAACTCACCCCACTCCCCTGATTCAAACTGCCGACTTTTTGGTCAGCAAGTTCAGACTTTAATTCCTGCAAGCCCTATCCTATGTAGCCAATGTCAAGGGAGTATGGAAGTTGTAGACCAACAATATCTAGAGTCCCTATCCACGACATTGCTAACTACTGGTTTCTTTTCATGCCCACAAATAATCTGCTGATTCATCGATTCTCCAGTATGAGGTTGTGCACAGCACTGACAATCTCTGGAACAACAACCACTCTCGGTCATCCAGGACGTTCCTCATCATCAGTGTGAAGTGGCTTATTTTAAATTTGGCAACTCTGTTCTTAACTATAGAATATGAAGGACATTGATCCCCCAGTGTCTGCGACACATCACCATGAATATCCTTTGCAGACTTTCCTTGCAGAAACAAGAATTTTATCACTCATCTGCTCTCATTTGCTGTGAATATAGCCTTAGACTCCACCATTTTGTTTTTCCCGCGCGACTAGATCAATGTTGCCATAAGCTACAAACACAAAATTTTGCAAACGTATATGAGACACATAGGTCTTTCGTGTGATGTAACATTCATTACCATGGAAACAAAACATGAACACAAAGCCAGAGACTTATCAGCAGCCCCTTGTATAGCAATAAGACAAGTGAAATCAACACATAGTTGATTAGCAACTCCTGCAGTGGCAGATTCACAGGCTGCCCTTGCTTCAGAGATCTGGTTCATTACAGGCAAATAAATGGGATGTTATTGGGTTCTTCTTTATTCTGAAGTTTTAGTATTATGAGTCCTTTTTAAATTGTGATCCATCACATAGCTACTGTAAGTACAGTACAGTATATGCTACATTCTCATGCCCAGGTAGCTGGGAACAAGCTCCAGAAAATTCTGTCAGGCTTATTTCCTTGAATACAAATGCAAGCATACATTAGCACAATATAATCCTACATATGGCTATGCAAAAAAAAAAAAAAAGCCTCACAATTATGTGAGGGCTCTTCCTAACTAAATGAACGTAAGATTACAGTTTTTCCTGGAAGTCCCACCAAATATTAACTCCAGTTACACTGAAATAGATATGCACAGAACATGTACCACAAAATAACTTCATGTAAATGGAAGCTTCCTCCATCCAAGTATATCCAAAATGGCTGAATAGCTGTCAACAATAATAAGGATAGGCAGAATTAAAAACTGCTGTCAAATATCTTTATTCTTAAAAGTCTTGACTTTGAAACTTTTTCGATATCAAGACTATCCCTTTTCCCACAAATGCAACAAGTTTTAATTTTGTTTGGGTATTTTTGCTCAAAGGAAGATGTTAACAATTGTTGCTTTAGGAAAAAAAATGTATTTCTCAAAGATGGGGCTATGTTACCAAACCAGGTCATAACTGAAATTTTAAAGTGAAAATGGGAAGAACCCACCTAAACTGAAAAACATGTTAAAAACCAGGCACTTTTGCAGAGCTGAAGCCAAAATGAGAGAGCGGGGGGGGGGGGGGGCAATGCCAGTCACCACCATTTTAAAACTTCTTCAGGGAGTACTCAATTGTTACATATTGTGTCTTCAAGGAAAATCTATTACAAAATTTAAAGGGAATCCCTTTGAATCCTGTGATAGATTTCCATTGAAAGCGTACATGGGATTGCTTCTGAGGCTGAAAATGTGTGACTTGCCCAAGTTCACATGGTGGGTTTCCATATCCGAGTGGAGAATAGTATCCTGGTTTCCAAAGGCTCAAACCACTACACCACATTGGCTTTCAATACATAGCAGCATCTCAATACATTCTACAAGATACTGCAAGCAGTGACAACCACAAAGAGATTCCCATTGGTTAATCTACAGGATAATAGGTCTGCCAGTTTTGGAATTCCTGTGTTAGCAGTAGGACTTAGCCTCAGAGCTTAAACACAAAAAGTGATTTCTAGAAAAGAAAAAACAGTATTACTATTATTATGTTTATTTCTACCCTGCTTTTTCTCTCCACAAGGAGACTCAAATCAGATTGTAGACATAATTTAGAGTGGTTTAAAAAAAACAACAACAGTGTATCTAACACTTTTTGTAAATTCTGATTATTTTATTATAAAAATTAAAGATTCTATACAATGGAAAAAATGTGATTTGAGAAGAATCTCAGTAGAATGACCTATATTTAGGACACTGTCTGGCTACAAGAAAGTTACGACTTAATCACTGCACAACATTGCAACGCTAGGTAATTTTAAAACAACATTAATTATGCTCCTTTGGATTTGAGTTAACATTACCAATCAAAACTCAAATACTGCATTCATAAAGATGAAAACATTTGTTAGTTTTGCCTTTTATCTGATACCATTTAAGGTGCCCCCATTACATGCAATGGCATGCATACTGTTATCTAACATCTAAGTATTATTCTATAGGGAGCTGCTGCAAGTGAAGCCAGATTCAGTGAAATCTTATGGGAAGTAACATAATTCCTTGCTCTGTGAGAAGCTTTAGTTATTTTGGAGTGCAAGCAGTCCCACAGGAACACATTCAAACATAATTGCATCTGTGCTTGACCTCAGAGACAAACACTTGTTTATAATCTTTCAAAGAAAAAAGCATCTGAAATGGGAAGAAGAAACAATGTGAGAAATAAAAATAGCTTGTCATGAGATACATTAACTAGCTCTTTCTCCACTCAAGATCTCTCTTTCACACACAACACACACAAGGCTTTTTCATGACCATAAGAGCCAACATGGTGTAGTGGTTTGAGCAATGGCTGAAGACCAGCGTTTGAGGCTGGTCTTCAACCTACTGAACATACTGAAAACCTACTGGGTGACCTTGAACAAATCATACAATTCCAGCCTCAGATCAAAAGCAAAAGCAAACTTCCTCTGAACAAATCTTGCGAAGAAAACTCCATGATAAATTTTCCTTATGGTTCCTGTAAGCTAGAAATGACTTGTAGGTTCACAACAACCCTGAGGACCTTGTTAAACAGGCATCAACAACTTATCATTTTCTTCACAGCCCCAACATCTTGGACAACTCAGGTAATGGCATAAGGGAAGTAATCCAAAAGGAGAATCATTTTCCAACTCAAGGTTGTTTTGTTATTCTTCTCCTGTGAAATTTGTTTTGAGTCTTTCCAGTTACCCCATTTTCCCTAGATAAAAAGAGTTATACATACCCTTCACCAAGCTTCTCCAAGACATCAAAGACTTCTTCAGGTTGCTTAGTTAAGCTGTCTTCACTTAGCTTTTTTAGCTTGCTGTTAATACAAAAATTGAATTATTCAACCTTTATTATTTTGCAAATGTATTCCTTTTCTAATTTTCATCTAATTTAATATTGCTAGATATTCTTGAGTTAAGCATAGAACAAACAAATTAAAACCTCTTGCATATGTTTGTCTCTCATTCGAATGGTCACCATAAGTCGATTTGGCAGGAATTAGCAATAACACATGCTTAATTCCACTAATGTAAGTAAGCCAATAAAAATATGAGTGAATAAAAGTTATTTGGCAATTAATGTAAGTTAAAAGACAAAGCACAATGGTAAACAAAGATTTCCACAGGAAAAAATCAACATATACAGTTAGGAGGCCTGTGAATCACAACATGCCTTGATGCCTTTCAACTCTACTCCCATAATGATCTGAAGACATCCAGTCATTCATGACATTGAATAATAGGAGGAACCGGTGGGCTGTTTTCTTTTTCATTCAGGTTGTTACTGTTTCATAAATGAAATCAAGTAATTTAATATAGCACCATAAATGACTAAATGAAGTTATTGTTGATAGAAGTTATCCTGGTCCCAACCCAGTGTCATCAGTAATGGACTGGATGAGGGCAAACAAATTGAAATTTAATCCAGACAAGGCAGAGGTGCCTCTGGTTAATCAGAAGGCAGATCAGGGAATAGAGATCCAGCCTGTGCTAGATGGGGTTATGCTCCCCCTGAAGACACAGGTCCACAGTTTGGGGATATTCCTGAACTCAGCATTGAACCTGGAGACCCAGGATTCTGCAGTGGCCAAGACTGCCTTTGTACATTTAAAACTTGTATGCCAACTGCGCCCATTCCTTGAGACGCTGGATCCGGTGGTACATTCCTTAGTGCCATCTGTTTGCATTACTGTAATACACTCTATGTGGGGCTTTGAAATGTATTTTGAAACTACAGCTTGCCCAAAGAACTGTGGCCAGAATGTTGAGCAGAACATCTTAGTCCGAAACTCCGAATGATCTCTCCCAGCGGCTTCATGTAGATGTTAAATAACATCGGGGACAGAATTGAACCCTGTGGGACTCCACACAACAACGGCTGCGGAGCCGAACAGGTGTCACCCAATGACACCTTCTGGGTCCGTCCCTCAAGGAAGGATCGGAGCCACCGCAGAGCAGTGCCTCCGAGCCCCATGTCCATGAGGCGCCCCAGAAGGATACCGTGATCGACGGTATCGAAGGCCGCTGAGAGGTCCAGCAGAACTAACAGGGACACACTCCCCCTGTCTAGCTCCCTGCGTATATTAATTTGTACTGTAAATCAGCAAGAAACTTGAAAGCACATACATGCACGCATTTGCAAGGATGCTTAGCATTGAAACAGTACACCTATGTATGCAAACTGTATGATGCGTTCTTGCATGGCATGTGCTTCTACCAACAATGTAGACTCAAGAATATAAGAACCAAGATTCTAACCCCCCCAATATTAATGATTAGCACCAGATAACTGCCATCCATTTTTGCCTATGATTTTATCTATAGATAATCATGTCTGTAAGTTTTCATATATTAAAAAATCATGTTCTCATACATTAATGCCACTAGCATATTCAAGTATAAACATGGTATATTTTCCAACCATGCAGTTTTTATCCACACAGTGAGGAACTGCAAACAATCCAGAAGGCCACAGGTAGAACAACAATTGTCCCACTGGTATCACTTCCCTTCCACATGTGTTTACCACTAAACCAAAAACACAAATATCTTCATGCTCTGCTACACGTTACCTAATGAAATCAGGAAGCTGAACTGCTTGAAAATGATAATTGAAAAAAATCATGGTACAAGTTATTCTAACAAAAAGAATGAAGATTGCCAAAGGGAGAGTGTTGATTTTTATGAACCAAAAGCCAACTTTGACAAGTCTTACCAACACAGAATGCAATGTTGTGAGATAAGAGGGTATGTCAGAAGATTATAGATTCAAAAAATACCACATTGGCTAAGTAACTCCCTCGGTCACCACTGGTTATGCAAGCTATAATTTTCCCTTTATGTTCAGGGATGTCTCCTTAAACACATAATACTTCTTTCCCTAGGCTGCAAAAATGTAAGCAACAAAACAATAGCATTTGCCAGTTGTTTCAGTTACCATTTGGAATGAACATATTCTGGAGTAACAGTTTATAACTCATTTAAAAATCAGTTATGCTTCTCCCTAGATATACTGTACCTAAGAGTCTATACAGTCTATCGGCAAGAAAAGCCAACAGATGAACTCTTCTGAATTTTGGACTTGCTAGACTTGGTACTGTGGCTACAGTATTGTTTGTGATTGAGAGATGGAGATTTCTCCAAGGGCCCTTCCAAACAGGCCCTATATCCCAGAATCTGATTCCAGGTTTTCTGCTTTAAATTGGATTCTATGAGTCCACACTGCCAGATAAACTGGGATAAACAGAAAACCTGGGATCAGATCCTGGGATATAGGGCCTGTCTGGAAGGGCCCTAAAAGACAACCAATAAAATCTATTTTATTAGCCTGACTGGAACCTAAATACAGTTTCTTTCCTGAAAGAATAAGAAGAAAAATGTAACTGGATACTGTGAATTTCAGCCTGTAATTTTATTTATTTATATCTCACCAAACACATCTCAGGACAGTGTAAAATAAAAACCAACCACCAATTTTAAACTATATAAACAATAACCGTAATTTTAAAAGTCTGGAAGAACTTATTCAACAAGTTAACAAGTTAAAATAAAAATGTTTAGAACAAATTTAAATAATTAAAAACAATGCATATGTCTAGACTTATAAAAAACCAAGTAGGCCCCAAATGTTAGGAAACAATTACAGCTTTTTTGCACTGGCACTAACAGCAACACGGGCATCAAGCAGAGAAGACCTTCTCTTCCACATCCTCCCATAACATATTGCCCTGGCTGACAGGACAACCCTCAAATTAACCTCTAGCCTTAGGCCCCATCTACACTGCATTTGTCCCTGTTGAACTTCGTTTTGTTAGTTTTGGCCCATCTCTCTAATCTGTCAAGATTGTTCTGAATTCTGCTCCTGTCTTCTGGAGTATTGGCTATCCCTCCCAATTTGGTGTTGTCTGCAAACTTGATGATCATGCCTTCTAACCCTTCATCTAAGTCATTAATAAAGATGTTGAACAGGACCAGGCCCAGGACGGAACCCTGCGGCACTCCGCTTGTCACTTCTTTCCAGGATGAAGAGGAACCATTGGTGAGCACCCTTTGGATTCGTTCACTTAACTAATTACAGATCCACCTAACTGTAGTTTTACCTAGCCCACATTTGACTAGTTTGTTTGCCAGAAGGTCATGGGGGACTTGTCGAAGGTCTTACTGAAATCCAGATACGCCACATTCACAGCATTCCCTGCATCTACCCAGCCTGTAACTCTATTGAAAAAAGAGATCGGATTAGTCTGGCATGACTTGCTTTTGATAAATCCATGTTGACTAATAGCAATGACCATGTTCATTTGTAAGTGTTTGCAGACCACTTCCTTAATGATCTTTTCCAGAATCTTGCCTGGAATCGATGTGAGGCTGGCCTGACAGTAACTGCTTGGATCATTCTTTTTTCTCATATATGTTGAAAATCTTAAAAGAATGAAAATCATATGTTAAGTGACTCTTGCTCATGGTATAGAATTTTTAGGTCAGAATCCTTCATCTGCCACAGAGTGTTGACTTGAGAAGTCTGCATGATTTATCAATCTCAGAGTTATTGGAGAAGAACCACATTCCAAGAACTGTACAGGATTGTGCCAATTTAAGTGTCTTAAGTTATCCAACAAATAGAAGCCAGTGAGACCTCACATTGCTTAGGAACTAGCAAATGAAAATTCAAACAATTTACACAAGGTGATTATTATCTGTAATTACAATATTCATAGGTCACTTCATATGGAAACACAGAGCTGCAGGGAACCTTGTTCAATAATATACAATAATACACAATTTTCCACCATTCTCTGGCTTGCCAAAACTGTATTGCCATAGGATCAATTCTGCACTGTACCTGAACCTACAATCCAATCCCATATACATATATATGACAAATGATTTTTTAAACAAATCTTTTTGTACATTTAATCTCCTGAATCTGCTTTGGCCGCATTGTGCAGTATAATGAACCTGAAAGTAAGCAAACCAAGATAGGAGTTCTTAAAATATCCTACATGCCAAGATGCAACTGTATTTCATTTCAAAATGAAGCCAGGAAACTTCAATTAATTGCCCTGCTGTCTCTTTGCTTGTTAACAATGATTTGTTGCAGACATTTATCAGGCCCATTTCATTTTAAATTAAAAGTGGCATTCCTCAAAAGTGGCAAATAACCCAAAAAAATAGAGTTAAAACAACTACTCTACAAGGGAACAAATTGCTTATGAATACTTGAATATTTATAACCACATGTAAAAACAAACAGCTTCCTTAATTTAAAAACATAGGAACAGGAGAATATATATGGAAAATGTTGGCAGTTCTCATGTTTAAAGAAGTCTAAATAAAAAAAATAGTTACATCCAATTTTATATACATTTTGCGGGAAAGGAAAAATGAACTATGAAATCTCTTGGCAGTTATGAATGCACGTTTTAATTTGAAATAACAGTAATGATACTATTGAAAAATGTTTTTTAAGGGGAACCCTCAAAACCTAAATGTCAATTGCCGTTATCAATTCTTATAACTCTACCACAAATGGTAGTGGTTATTTTAATCATTCAACTTCATTTACCATTGCTATTTAATGCATTATAATCTATGCACAGTGTCTTAAAATACAATCCTCATTTATATTAATTAGTAAAAACAAGTTATGATGCAAGGAAATGAACATTGCAATGTAAAGCTGGTTGTAAATCATTTAAAATGATATATTGGTTATGTTTATTTTTAACATCTGCCTTTCTTACAATTGTGTTCCATATTCATAGTCTACAAATCAGTTGCACACACATACAATCTTACTATTTGGTGGAGAATGTAA